CAGCGCCTTCAGCGTGGCCGTCTGCTCCAGCTTCAGCCGGTACCGGCGGAACAGAGCCTCCAGCTCCGCGCAGTCGAACTCGTCCTCGCAGGCGATCGTCCCGGGCGGGCAGTGGCTCCGGCGCCGCCGCGTCTTGACCTTCTGGAACGGCGTTTCGTCCATAGCAAGCGGGCCATTCACGCGTCGGGGCGCCGCGCGGTGCACAGGTGGCGAGGCGGCGGGGCGGCGCGGTGTGGCATCACCGGGGCTCAGGAGCTCTGGAGCGGACGCACACGGAGATCGACTGAGCTGGAGCGCGCGCGGCTCAGACTGGATCACGCATGCGCTGTGCAGCTCCGCTAATTCTGCTGATTGACACAAGCGGAGGATCTGCTGTCTCTCACTGACACACACACACACACACACACACTCCTGTGACGATCTTTGTTAAAGAGACAGCTCAGGACACACTCATCAGTCTCTCTTCATTTCCTCTGGTTTGAGTTTATTCTGTTGAACTCTGATGGAGAGACTCTGAGGAATGCTGGAAACCTGTAACCGCTGACTGCTGTTGGTTGTTCCTATTATGTAAGTCAATGGTTACAGGTTTCCAGCATTCATTCATGCATTTCCCTTCAGCAGGGTCAACACTGTTGTGTTTAACAGAACAAATAAACCACCTGAGGGAAATGAGGAGCAAATGACCAGTCATGAGTGAACTGTGCCTTTACATGTGTAGTAAACCCATCCTCCTCTTCATCATCATCATCATCATCATCATCATCATCATCATCATCATCAGAACACTGAGCTTCAGGTAAAATAAACAGGACAACACAACAGCTGTAGTGTTTGACTGAGAGGTGATGTAGAGGCAGAGCTGCGCGTGTGCTGCTGCAGTTGTTGTGGGGTGAACAGTGTTTCACTCTAAACACCTGACATTAACCTTTGACCTGAAGCTTTTCTTACAGGTGCAGTGTGTGCGGGTGACACCCAGTGGTTGAGCTCGGTATTGCACTCCTGGATCATCAAACACAGGCGCAGGTTTCCAGATTGAGGATTTAAATCTTGTTCTGAATGAAAGCAGCGGCACGCTATAGAAGGATTATTCTCCATATTAAAAAGAGTTGATGTCCTGATCAACAGCTGAGATTGATTTATTAGAAGCGGCTTCCATTCCTCACAGCTGAACAACAGAACACTGACACTGCTTCAGCTAAACTGCATGTAGTGTGTTGTCAGGACACGGGTTACAGTGTGACCTGCTCTCATAATGTTTACACTCCTAATGTTTATATTATTTTCTTATTAATAACCTCATGAGGAACTCTGAATCTGCGTCTCATTTTCAGAATCCGCCACTGTCCACCAGAGGGCGCATTTCAGTCACGGACGCATGCTCTGAGAGTCTTCTTGACTGAATGAATGAAATAAGCTGTTTTCCACCATCTGGCAACCTGGGGGGCTGAAATATAATTGGCTAAACTGGCAGTGGGCGGGTTATAACAAAACAAAGGCAGCCTTTCCAGCACGTAACGCACACACTCACAGCAGAATATCTGACTTCAGCATTGTGTTTCAGATAATCAGGAGTGTTCACTGAACATGTTTCTGAATATCTGCACACACATGAAGCTGATGATGATGCAGAAGAGGCAAACACACAGCACCTTTAACGAATGTTACTAGTTTTGAGCAATTACTGTGTGTGTGTGTGTGTGTGTGTGAGTGTGAATAAATCCTCCGCTGTATAAACACTGCTGTGATGTTTCTGACAGCTCTGAGACTGAACAGAGTATTTTTAGCATCTCTGAGGAGGAAAAGAGGAAACCGCAGAGGTGAATCTGTAGGAGAGAGCAGACAGGTGACACACACACACACAACCACACACACATGCACACAATCTCTCTCTCTCTGTCTGTCTTATTATTTATTGTTTTGCTTTGATAGAACACACACACACACACACACACACAGTCTTGTTCAGTGTTTAAACTCAAGAATGCCAAACTCCAGGAGGCGCTGATCAATACTGTGAATAAATCTGAACAATGTTTGAACTAAACCACGAAAACCCGTCAGCTGCAGCTCACACTCATCAGACACCAGCAGAAACCTGCCTTCAGTGTGTGTGTGTGTGTGTGTGTGTTTCTGATGCTTTATGTGACTGTGACATTGCACACACACACACACTCACACACACACTCACACACAGAAGAAGAGCTTAAAGTGGTAAAAATAACCTGAGCTTTACTGCGGCGCTGCTGCGGTCACTGCAAGAGGATTAGAGATTCCCTCGACTGCTTCAGTCTGATCTGATGACAACACACACACACACACAGATATGCAGTCAGGTCCATAAATATTTGGACATGGACACAGCTCCAGCATGTCTGTCTCTGTACAGAACTGAACTGAGGATGTGCTTCACCTGCAGACGGTCAGCTTTACTCTGAGGGTGTTTACCAAAGAGTTTCTGAAGGAGAAGAAGTGGCA